AATAATAATAATAATAATAATAATAATAATAGCAACAATAATAATAATGATTATAATAGCTTTTGTATAGCGCAATTTCACGCTCAACAATAAGCTCTATGCGCTTCACAATCTATACTATTACCATTTCAGACCTGAGATAATTCTGAAACAACCTCAACTTCCTGGGAAGCATACAGAGCAAGCAACCATATTATAGGCGCTAAAACACTAACATACTGACAAGATCTTTCACTGTCTATGGCCGGGTACCCATTCGTATCTGGGTGAAGTGAGGAAAAATTCGTGTAAAGTGTCTTTCCAAAGGACACAACTTCGGGCCCACGACTCGAACCCCGAACCCGCAACCTCACGAATTGTGAGTCCGGTAGCCTAACCATCTTTAGGCCACCGACGCCACCATTTTATGGAACAATCATAGAGGAAAGTAATGACCTGAAGCTAGTCGTCGGCAGCCTGTTTTACTGATATAAGCCCAGAAAACAAAATACTTCAGGAGAGGGAGAGGGAGTGAGAGAGAGAGAAAGAGATAGAGATAGAGAGAGAGAGAGAAAGAGAAAAGTCCTAAAGTTTTCCACGAATTTGATTTGGAAAGCATTTTCAAGTACAAATTAACTCTGACTGCGACCACTTTTATGGCACAGACAACGTCACCAAGCCTTGATTAAACAACACCAAAAAAACCCAACCCAGAACACACCCACTCGGAAACAGATGAGCTTAATCCCTGAACCAAGCATTCTTAAAGAAGGATTCATCTTCTTAACGCTTATTCAAAAGATTCTGGCACATTCTACAATCTCAGCTCTCCTGAGTGTTGGGTGATGATATGTGCCGATTTGACTGAAGGAGGCATGCGTTTAGTCCTATTTCGTGGTTCAGAGTTCAATAAATTGACGCCTAGGACAATCATTAATTTAGCGCCTACAACGCCTGACAGACTTAATCGGTGCTCTGTACAAAGAATCTTCCACTCGCTCCACTTTGTCGGCTGTGTAGGCCCTGAAAAAACGACGGTTCTCTGGTGAACCACGGCAGGAAAATATTATATGCTTGCCCAAATGCCTACTTCCCATTCAGATGGAATTTTATCGTTTCTGGACCGTCTATCAATCTCAAAGTAAACACGACAAGAGGCTCTAGCAGCCTTTAGGGATCCAGTTATAAGATAGAAATGGTTCAAATATGGTGCAGATTTTCCGACAAACGGTTGACTAATGGAGTCATTTTGTGGTAGACAGGTTTTTGGAAGCGTTAGTAGATAGATAGTTAAATAGACAGATAGATACACAAAGAGAGAGAGAGAGAGAGAGAGAGAGAGAGAGAGAGAGAGTGTGTGTGAGAGAGAGAGAGAGAAAGAGAGAGAG